GGTAGATTTTTCTTGAATTTTCAAGTGACAACTATTTGTATTACTAAGGTTCATCAAATAATTCACCTCTTATGACTTTCAGCATCTTCACATCATTTTTAAGGAATAAGTGCCCTCTCTGATGAAAAAATAATCACATGAATGTCATTATAGATTTACCTGTATTCATTCTGTCCTGAAGGAAAAATTTTGCCAGGCAAATGCATTTTTGGAATGATTTTATTTGTTTCAAATGCAAATGCAAATCACCTCTTTTCTACAAAACACATTGAAGAGAAGGAATATCTTAGGGGAAAACATATCTTTCTCAAACTCAGAACTACATTTGTAATGAGAAACAATTCTCTGAATTCGTATTTTAAACTTACAGTAATATTTATTCAGTACCTCACTGATTATTAAAGCACTATCATTTTAAAGTATACTCAGCAAGTAAATATACCAGTACTCTTAAGGCAGTGAAAATAATATGATATTTATTATCAAGTATTTTAATGTAAAGTCTTCAATTTTGATAGATTGATTTGTGAAAACAATCCTACATTATAAAACTTCTTGATTGCAAACTCTGTAGAGATACTTCTTCTACAATTTTAGATAGCTATAATGTGATTAACAAAGAGAACATAGCAGTTTATAAAATATCAAGGGTATGTGACACTATACTGTAACATTTCTAGGTGGAGATTCAGACAATTATGGTCAGATATAAATCTGACCAAATTAAGGTATAAACCCACATCAATGTATGATAATGATTTCTGGTGGTCACCATTACTTTATATTGACCTATATCAGATACCAATGGCAAAATCGATTGAAACTTGACAAAAACTTTCATCTTCAATTATTTTTTCAACCAAATATTTTCACCAAACTTATTTTAAAAATTTAAAACAATTTTTGACCATTTTTTTTTTTTTTCATTCAAGTATAAAATCAATGTCATTAAAAATTTATGCCAACCGCAAAATTATCATGATTCGATACTTTTATACTTCTGCTACTAATAAAATGACACATAGAAACAATTAAATGGATAATCGATGGAACATAATCTACAGCAGGAAATCTCTGATGTCTAACCCAAGTAACAACCCTGAGTCTCTATTGATTAAAACTTTATTCCACTAATTAATTGAGCTACACACTACACTGATTAAAGCCATATAGTGCTTTCCCTTTCCTTGCAAACTTTGGTGTCATATATAGAATGGTACCATCACTTTATTTCACGACCCCTCCTTTTATGTTTCGATATTTATCGAAAAGATAAGTGTTGTTGCTTGGCGACCAAAGAGTCATTCAAGGTATTGTATTTGAATGGAAATAATTTTTTTTTACCCCTTGTAATATCTTCAATTATTCAACCTGATCTCTAAATTCTTTCATAATCTTTTCAATTTTTTTTTTCCATTTAAAGCAGCTGTTAAATGCTGACTTCTATTTGTACACATTTTCTGGTCCGGCTAATAAAAATTTCATTTCAATATCCTAGGTGTAAGTATCTATTTACACTTTAAAGTTTTGTAAACTTTACGGTGGGTTGGTTTGACAGAGATAAGCTTATGGTCACTTAGCAACAATCAAACAAAACACTTTCAGTTTCCTCACACCAAAAGGGCACTAACTCCTACACAGAACTCAAACTTTAAACACTTAATGTGCATGACTCTTAAAGTAGTTCCATACTCAGGAATAAATAGCCTAGTCTTGAAAGACTCTTGTGCACTTTAATTATTAGATTTGTTTCAACATAAAATTCTTTTCAATTTTTTTTTTCATGTGGCTCTTGATCAAACTGTAAATGTCATACTTATCATTTATTGATTTGGATTAATTTATTTGTTTGATTAACGTCCATCTCGTTTGTATTTTGATAATTCATCAATTGAAATTACACCACTTGCTGGTTGAGAGCTGCAAATGTTTTCCTGTACTCAGCACTTACGACCATGGAGCAGTGAGGAATCTTTAAGTTTTTTATACCATTGATGAAACTCAAGGAATTCCCATTTTTCATATCAGTTATCTTTGAAAATATTTGAAATAAACATCTTGGGGAGGGTAACGCAAATTTGACTGGTTGTTTATACTCACACCTGAAAGTTGGTTGTAATTTTTGGGTTTTATTTGGAGGTAATTTGCCATTGACCCACTTATAAGTCAGTACAACATTTTGCTTGAATCCTCTGACAATTTCAACTCAATGCTCCAATGTTTTAACCTGGATTTTAATTAATATTTGCAGAAAATATGCCGATATTTTATTAGATCATTCAAAAAAACATAAGTTAATGAACACAATTATATAAAAGATTTAAATAAAATCATTAAAATAAATAAATATACTGTACTTAGGTTAAACAACAGCTTTTTCTTGATCATTTTTTCTTCAGAAAGTCTTTAATTATTCATATTGCATTATTTTTATATGATCATGAAATGAATATTTTTGATTTATAATAACACAAGTGTAGGGTATTTCAACCACTGTACAAACAAAAACAAGAAAACTGGTATTTTAATCATAGTTTTTTTGAAAAAAAAAATTGTTTAATTTGCTTGCCCTAGAGCTCTCAACTCAAATTAATATAAATTAAGTGAATTTTTTTTATTAAAAAAAAAAAACTTGAGAATATGAGGTTGAAATAGTTATAAATGCATGAGAAGAGATAACTCAGAAATATTTTTTTATTTCCTGGACATTATTTAATCAGGCAAACAAACAATTTTTATAGATGGTTTAATTTATGCTGTTGTTAAACAAAAAGATAACTCTAAAAAAAAAAATGACAAAAAGGAGTAATTTTCAGAATGTGACTAATTTGCAGATATCAATTAAGTGCACATTATTGATTGGTAGAGGCAGATTTTGTTAAAATATGCTAATATGGGAGAGCATGAGTTTTCAGAGACTGATTACGGACCATCCAGTTGCTGCTGAGACATAAAAATGATAAGCAGTTATTGCTTCAGTTTTCTATTTCATTTAGTATTAAATCAGCAAGTCTTGAAGAAAGATAAACAGCATTTGCTTTACAGCCTTTGCAATTTTCTATAAAGTAAATTCCTAGAAAAAAATCAAATACACTTAAACTTATATTAATCTTGGTTATGCACTGTTTGATTTACACTGGTACATGTATAATCAACTTTATGGCATATAAAATCAACTTCGTAAATTTTCATTATCAATGCTAGAACAAAAAGCTTACAAGGTGATCTTTTTATTCAAGACTGTTGATATCCTTGATTCATCAACTTGTTTGTCAATAGCTTGCTTTCCTTTGCAATAGTTTGCATAAGAAATCGTTTGCATTTAGAAAATTTATAAATTGAAATTTCAATTCTTCAAAGTAGTTGTTTTAAATTTCATTCACATAGCATATTTGGTATTGATAAAAAGGAAAATGTGAAAATTACAAATCTGTTATAAATTTAACAATTTTTTATTCAAATAAAACAAATTATGCATATAGAAAAGTAAATCCTCGTGTCACCAGTATTTGGCTATAACAAAGTTTTACTGTACATGTTAAACATGTTGGAAAACTCACAGTTTCAGATTTTTGTGGTTGGTGTATTTAATGCATTTGTTATAAAATATTTTGAAATGTACTGTATATTTGACAAAGTTTTGCCATGCCTTGTCATTAGGTCAGTTGATTGAATTACTGGTATTTCTACACATTGTTAAATGCAACTTTCAATGGTTCTTACTAAAAAGAAATTTAAGATACCAAAGTGTTATGTGCAAAAAGACTTTTTTAGGAGGAAAATTTAAGTCATGGAAACTTTTGAGTAAGAAAGATAATACATGAAATTTCTTTTGAAAAAGAAAGAATAAATTCTTTTTAAGTTGTTCTAATGTTGAAATTTAAAAAAAAACAAAAAAACATGGAAATAAAGGAAAATATTTTTGCATTCCGTACAAGTTTTTTTTAAAGCATACATTTATCTTTACTAATTGATGTCATTTTTTTTTTAAATCTTCTAATCCCTTTTCTGTAAAATAGCAATTAAAATACAACATTTACAGATTGATAATGTTTGGAAAGGGATCTTATTTTAATATGAATTCCTCTTTTAATATTTTTGATCAATGTTTCATGCAATATTAGTTTTTCCTGACAAATCAAGAAACTTGAATGAACATCTAATAAGAATCTTTATGTGAGCACTCAACTGTTCCTCTCTCTTAAAACCTTAACTTTTAAATTGGAATCTTAAAAATCATTTCTAAATGTTTAAATCTTTTCATTACATTAAAAACCACTCAGCTAAAAACTTGACAAATGATGGATTAAAGATGAATGATGAGGGAAAAATGACCTGATTTAAATTTTTGTAAATTTTTTTTATTGCAATATACTGAAATGGATGGTGTGCACTTTCAATGAATGGAACTGAAATTGGGGGAGGGGGGGTGCACCAAAGGTACTACATGTAGTAATTAAAAGTTGAGCATATATTTGTAAAAAGGAATGAAAAGCATGTACATGTATGTACTTGTGATAACAATACAATAAATGTACATTTTAAAGAGTATAGTGCTTAAGGGTATTTTTTTTTTTTACAGGTGATTTCTTAAGAAACTTGGAACCCAATTTCACAATGCTGGTATTATGGTCATCTCAGTTGCTTGATGCACAGTAACCTTACAGACTTCGCCCTTGGGGATTGGTACCCATCTGAAATCTTGATACAATGTTTATCTCTGTTTACCAAGCCCAGTAGCCTTGCAGATTTTACCCCAAGGAATGGTAAGAATTACACTGTTGACTTTGTCACCATGCATGCAGACTTCACATCCCCCCCAGGGGTTGGTAAGACTTACCCTATAGACTCTGTTACCTTACATACTTTACCCCCTGGTATTGGTAAGACTTACCCTGTAAACTTTGTCACCTTACAGACTTCACCCCCAGCTTTTGGTAAGACTTACCCTGTAAACTTTGTCACCTAGCTTACAGACTTTACCCCTAGGTAAAACTTACCCTATAGACTTTGTCAGGGATAAGGATGCTCCCCCGCCTTCCTCCTTGACTACCAGGAGCCACACTAAAGCGACGACCTTTGGACTTGTCATCCATTTTCTTTTTTTTCAGAAATTTTCACAAAATTTTATATCCACAATGATTTGGTAAAACTGTTAAAATTACTTCCATGAAACTGAAAAGGTTTGCACCTCTAAAGAATCCAGCAAACACTATGTGCAAGTCTAATGGTCAGATATCATATACCCTAAATCTGTTGTTGAACGCTGATAATTAAGCAGCTTTATGTCAAAACATAATGGATGAAAATCGCATCAATCAAAAATGCTATTTCCTCCGCGTAAACAAATTTTGAAATTAAATCCAGTCCTCTGTCATGAATATGGTCTAATTATCATCTATTCTTTGGCAGGTTTCAGAATGCCAGGGTTCGTGCTTTAATGAACTTGTCACACGGCAAAATGGGCAAAAGCTTACTATTATATACCGCTGAAAAGCAGCAGCACCTTCTCAGTTTGGGCTGTATATAATCACATCTCTGGCGGCTTAAACTTTCAATGCGTGTCTACTTGATTGAATTCCATTAAATGTCTCCAATCATTGAATCCCAGGCCTTCTCAGTGAAATACCGCAGCTTACTGCAATAAGGCAGTTAGTGCTCAACACAAAAAACCTCTTTTAAGATCATAATGAATCTTCTACCAAATTCAGTCACTATTTGCATAAAGCAGGTATGATTCCACCAAACAATTGGTTGTCTCCTTCAGAAAGTCCTCACTGTTTGGCTTTACATGAAAATGCCATAAAACTCTCTCCATGTGGTAATAGTAGAACCTTATCCATTATTATGTCCAGCTAAGTCCAATACTATCTATCTAATTGTCCTTATAAGCACTCGCAAAGGATTTTACAAGTTTTTTATTAATCCAGTAGAACATCAAATTTGAAAAGTCTCTTTCTTTGAAACCAAGTAAATTCAGAAGAGGACTGATTATATGTTACAGAATTATAAACTTTCCAAAAATTAAGATGTGAAGTCAACTTGAAATAATTATGCACCTTTGAAATGAATGCTGCACAAAAAACTTCTTTTGATAGGATAAAGGTTTTAATCCTTCCCAACAAAAGGGTAACGTAGTAAAGATCAACGTTATTTAAATGTTTTTACAGTTCGGGAAATTAGAGTAATGTTATTAAAGACGTTGACAATGGCTAGCGATCCATGCATGTTTTAACTCCATGTTTTAATCTGATTTGCCATATCTGTAGTGTGTGTATTTAATGAATATGATCCTCTTTGCATACTGAATAAACACATCACAACCGTAATAGATAATTAATGATCCCTGATTATCAGCAAGTCTATTACGCCACAAACAAAAATGTTTACACCCCGAAAAAATAAAATTACCAGGCAAGGCACGTGTTCAAAAAACGGTGAAGGATATGGTTTGAGCGTCAGCTGCATAAAAATATATATGTAGCTTAAAAAAAAATTGTGTTAAATATGTCACTAGAACTTTTTTTTATTATCGTTATGTTGAATCAATATATGTTTTAAAAAGCTTTTATTGAAATGGTACTTTATAGTTACCTAACTGAGTCATGAATTTCAAATAAAATATTTTAAATGCACAATTTTACAGCTGACAAATATAACACTTTTAAGTGTCAATTCTTTATGATAAATCTAACAGTTTATTTGGCAAGACTTTTTGAAGTTACAAGAGTCAATACAATCTTGTTAAAGCTTGCTTTTATATGTCGAACTACAATTCTCTCAAATGATATGTATATCAATCTTTGTAAATGTTGTGCTCTTCAAAAAGACCAACAATAGGTTTTCTATAAATCAAACTTTTTCCTATTAAAAAAATGCTGAAAAGGACAGCTAATTTATTTTTCAAAAATTAAAAATATATCAATATCATTTTTCCTATATCGAAGTTAAAATCTATGCAACAAAGAAAAATTTTGGTGAAATCGAATTCCAAATCAATATCCCCGGAGTTTTCTCCCTCAGAAAAGCATTATTGTTCTGACACTTCAAACTTTAGATGCAGCTTCAATCTTCATAAAAGAAAAAAATTACAATGACTATGGTTAAATAGATTTTTTTTTTCCATCAGCAATGCAAATTTCAAGTTACCTGACGTTTGACTTTCCATGTTGGATGAGCAAGAACATTAATTGAGAGATCAGATATTCATTTCTTTTTCAATACATTTATAACAAAAATGCTACATGGATCATTGAACATATTCAATAATATTACAGGAAATTTTAATCTTTAATGGAGAATGTTTAATAATTCATCAACCAAGCATGCTGTTCTAAATTTTTGGCTTGGCTGAAGCAAATGGCAACATATCCCAATTATAGTGGAGATTTATTTACATACACAGAAATAGTAAGTTAATTTTCTCAATTTTATTCAAATTTTCATGAATTCTTCGGGAATAATTTGTTTCAGAAAATCAAGATTGCATTAAACAGATTGACTTTCCTCACAAATAAATGACATATACTAAGACATGCACATACAAGTATCAGATACATGTACATCTTGTGTATTATTATCATTTTGGGATAGAATCATAGAGAGCTTGTGCTCAGAGATTAAAATGAAATTACCCTGTACATTAGAAACAAGAAAATTCAGAAAAAACTGTATACTTTAATTGCAAGAATCTTATCTTTGCATAAATTTAGATATGCAAGGCTATATGTTAAGAAAATTACATTTTCACATATAATTGATGATTTGCATCATTAAAAACTATAACAATAATCAAAATTTGCGAAAAATGGTGTATTGCTCAATAAAAATAGCCTAATTTAAATTTTGGTATTAAAAATCTCACAGAAATAACTAAAGATGTCATGAGAATTAAGTGATCTACAGTAATTTATATCTCACAAGACTGTATAATGCTGTACATGAATCAAAGTCAGTGTTAGTTGTCAAACAATTCAGCAGCTCATTCAAGGTCGGGTCTTTTGATCATTTTAAAAATTTCAAATGCGAACTGTACTGTTTTCATTTTTTGTAAAATAACCATTACCTTACTTTCCAATGAGAACTGAATTCAAGGGGAATAACTCTTAAACTCCTTCTAAAGAAATAGATCATTCATATTTTCTGTAAAGAATTCACTAAGTCTTTAAAAACAGTGAGTACATGTAGCATAAAAATTATGAATTTCCTTTTCAGAGTCTTACCATTAAAATTTTCATTTTCGAACAAGAGATTTTTTCTGGTTCTTTCAAAATAATCCAATAGTTTTTATTAATTATGTTGGCTTGAAGTCAGTCATTAATGTTTTGTACCAGACTTAAAATTTGTCCATGTGGGTTGGTTGGGAGAATCTTAAAACATCACAGAAATGTTAATTACCAACACTAACTTTGAGTGTACTTTCTTAATCTGTTCAAATAATGGGGTGTTGGATCAGTTTGGAGTGACATATGCCATTGCTTACAATAGCAAAAATTCTACTTCTAATTGCATTTGCTCAACACTTACAGCCACAATGCATGAAAAACCAAGTAAATTGGCAACAAAATTAATAAATAGCAGAAAGAAATTCTAAAATCAATTTTAATCATAATTTATAAAGAAGATATTGATATCACAATTCATTGGAGGGGGATACCTTTCTTTATTTGGTAAGGTGCCCCTTAAAAAATCCCCCTTTCCAACAATGTGAAAGAGGTTTTTAAGTATTAATAGCTTAACAATAAAAAATTGGAAAAAAAATTATTAAGGAATATCCATCTATCCACATATCAAACTAAGAAATCTGTGAATAGCCTGGATTACAGGAAAATGCATTCAAAGATGGATAACTCTTGGTGCCAGATACATTTACCAAGTACACTAAAAATCCAGCATTCAGGTGAGAGAGAAATAGACCATTTACTTAGATACCTAAGTAAAGAGGGCCAATTTTCTAGCTTTCTGTTAAGTAAACAAAGTGTACAGCAAAATCAATATAAACCAGTAACTACCAACAATCCTCGTTACATAACGAGTCACTTACTAACTTTATAATCTCAGGATCAATAGATTAGAAAATGAACCACAAAATTCCTTTCTTAGGGGAATTTTTTATTCAATCTGTCACAATAAAGTAAAACTTTAATATTTTAATCACTAAATATTAGGATAAAAGCAGAAATTTAAAGCATAAGGTACTGGGCTAGTTCAATCTACCACCTAGTGAGCCATTGCTTGACACCAGGGGGGTGATAATCACATGACAAATTAAAATACTTTTTCACAAGACTCTTGAAAAACAGAATTTAATCCTAAGAAAATTTAAAACTTGTGTTTAGATTTTTAAAAACGACAACTTATATTTTTAAAAGGCCTCTTGCTCTAAAAAGTCATTTACTTTATCACTAAGAAATAAAATGCTGTCAAATAAGGTATTTAAATGTCTCGTTTTCCGAACATGTCCAAACCTATTTACCACCAAAACTAAAATCAATGAACAAGGTATTTGTGCTCATAGATTACAGCCAGTAGCACACAATTCTGTTTTCAATAGCCTCGATAACTGTCTGACATCAAACATGCCTCCATTTTAGTGAGAATTCCAGTGAAAGCCGAGCAGTTGGCCAGCAAACTGTGAACCAGGCACAAGATGGAGCCCTATTCTAATATGGGGGCAGGTTATTACAGCCCCAGGAGTTCTCCGAATCGTTTTGGGGTGAAGGATTCCTTGGCTCTCTCTTCTGGAGTGTTTCCCGATGAGGACAGCGGATTTAATTCCAGCTTTAGCCTCAGCCGTCTGCCACAGTCTGAGGATTTTTCACTTTCGCCCCGATCCCCCATGGTTTCTCCGGGAGCTATTGTCAGATCCAAGTCTCTATCCCGGCTTAGTGGATCTTTACCTGTAGTCACCCAGGAGGTGACACCCTTCACACATAATCCCTTCAGAATGGATCGATCGTTACGGAATCTGAAAGGCAACCTGGAGGACAGTGAAAACAGACGACATGTCCTTGTGCATAAACTTAGAGAAGCTCAAAGTACACTGGAATTACAAAGTGAGAGATTATCAAAAATTGAGAATGCAGCCAAGGGGAATGCATTTCTGTTGGATGACTTAAAACACAAAGAAAGAGAATACAGGAAATCTATTGATTCTCTACAGCTGTCAGAACAAGAGAAGGATGTTCTTAAAATGGAAAACATCAAATTAAGGCAAGAAATGCAAGACAGAATTGATAAACTGGACTTTGCCTTACGTTCATTACAAGCCCAGCATCAAGTCGCAGAAAAAGAAAATCAAAAGCGTGTCATATTGCTTGACCAGTCCGCTCAAGCTTTAAACATGTTAGAGACAGAAAACAATAAACTTAAACTTGACCAAGACAGCATGACTAAAGAAATGGCAATAGCCAGAGAGGCCATTGAGCTAGCCCGATCAAAATTTGAACCCATGGAGGAAGAGAACAGGGACCTAAGGTCTGAAAATGCGACCCTAAAGGAACAAAATGCTGATTTTACCAGGAAGATCTCCGAGCTAACAGGCCAATTAATGGAACTGAGAAAGCTCACACAGTCGATGAAGGATGAGAATGAAAAGCTGGCCAGTTCCTGGAAATCACTGTCCGAGGAGAGGCAGAGGTTGGTTAAACAAGTTGAGGGCTCACAGGAAAAGGCTGCCGAAATGAAAACTAAAGCTGAAGCAGTTTCTGCAGAAAAAGACAGACTGTTCAAAGACAAAATGGACCTCAACAACAAATTTCAACAGCTTATGCTAAATAAGGATGAGCTAAGTCAGATGAAGATGGCACAAGAAGAACAGATACATGATCTAGAGACTGACTTAGAGAGAATGAAGAAGAATTTAAAGAAAAATGAAGAAGACAAACTTGTTCTCCAAGAAGAAGCATCTGATCTGAGGAGGGTGAGTGATGGGCTGTCAGCAGAACTGAACTCTGTGAGAAATTACTATGAAAAAGCTCTTGAACAAATAAATGAACTGGAAACTGAAAAACGGGCTCATCAGCAACAAGGCGATATAAGAAATCAAGAGCAGAATCGTTTGAAAGGAGAAATTGAGAGACTAAATAAGCAACTTATGAGTAAAACCAAAGAAATAAAAAAGGGAAGAGAAGAAATGGACGAGTTGATTTCAAAATTAAAAGATGATCTTCGTAGTCACAAGGATGACAACTTTTTATTGGAAAATAAAGTTGAAGAACTGACGGCAAAATTAAACAAAGCCAACGACAATATGAAGTATGCAGCTACCACCAGCCAAGAAGAACTGGACACCTGGAAGGATACATGCGAGAGGTTAACTGCATCTGTAAGTCGCAAAGAAGCAGAAGTGCAATCTCTCTCTGAGAAATGTTTAGAACTGGAGGATCTGACGGCCAAACTTCAGTCTGAAAACCGTCTGCTGAAGGAAGATAATGAAGCACTGACAGAGCAGGTGGAAGATATCAACAAACTGAAGGACGAAAACAGGAAAATGATACAGGAGAAAGCTGAAAATGAGCAAATGATCAAGCTGTTAGAAACTCAGAAAGAGGTTCTGACAAAGAGTTCCGAATCACAGTTAGCCAAGCTGCATGACATTGAGCAACTCACTGCAAGAGTTGATCAGCTTAGAAATGAGAATGAACACCACCGGGCAAGAGTCCTTGAACTGGAAAATGTCAGAGACAATTTAGTTAAACAGAAAGAAGAGCTACTGGCAAATACTGAGCTTATTTACAAAAATCCTAAACTTGAAGAACTGCAGAACAGAGTAGATGAATTGCAGGAAGCCAACAGACAGTTAAGGGATATTAACGATTCAGCAAATGAGAGATGTCAAACACTAGAAGAGGCTAATAGAGAACTCAAAGAAGCTGTCGGTGGTGATGGCTCAGTTGTTCCAAAGTATGATCTGTTGAGGGTGCAAGAAGAGAGAGATCGCTTGGAAGATGATATTGACCACATAAGGCAACAGTATAATGAACTGCAGGAAAAACATCAGAAATACACAAACAAATATGGTCCTGATGGTGAAGCACAAGAACAAGTCCGCCTGCTGGAGAGAGAAAAGGAGGGCCTAGAGAAACAAGTGGCTCTTATCAATGGACAACTGCTTCTGGTGGAGAGTAGTAAGAAGAGATTGGATGAAGTGGTGGAAGATCTGCAGCATGAAATTGTTCATCTAAGGAAAGAACTGGAAGAAGCAGAGAAACAGCCGGTTACTGGGCCAGACATGAGTGAGCTACAAGCTGAGCTGGAAGAGCTTCGTAGCGAGCTCACTCTGAGCCAGAAGGACAAAATAAAGCAAGAACACATGGTGCGATCACTGAAAGAGGAACTGGAAGAAGAGAGGACAAAGAAGCCCACACAGATCAGGGAATCGCTGGATGATGTCGGAACCGAGTTAACTTCTATGAGGGGAGAGCTGCACAAGCTAGTGGGTGAAATTGAACGGAAAGAACAGACAATCGCAACACTAGAAAACCAGCTGAGACAATCCAAGGAGAAGATTGAGGATAAAGATAAAAAGATACTGGACCTGAAATCAGGAAATGGACACTCAACTACCCACAGCTTAGAAGACACTCAACCTAAGTCTAGACTGGATTCGCTCCGAAAATCAGACTCAGTTGGAAGGACACAAAGTTTAACTGAGAAAGGATCTGGTGACCGTCTTCAATCACTGATCTCTAAATACAGAAACTACGGTGAACAATCAAGTCCGCACCCCGAACGCAAAATTAAACCTCTACCTCTTATTAGTAGTAGTGGCAGTAAAATGGGACTCGTGACCCGTGGGAAAAGTTTCGGACCCGCTGCACCAAAGAGTGAGGACAAAACCAAAAAGAGCACGTGAATTGTTCATATGCGAAATGTGAATAATCTTTGAGGCCCTTATCCAAAGATGTGTTTTTACTTATATAGTGAAAAAATAGTTCACTTTTATTACGAACCCAAAATTTACAGGACAATATAACCTGATATCTTTATATCTAAATAGAAGTATACTTTATTTGTGTCAATTCAGATATTTAAGATAAATATTGTATATTTATAACTATCCATAAAGCATGTAAAATGTATTGCCATAACAGAAAGTGTGCTACTTAATTTACTTGTATGCTAATAATTATATTATTATAAATCAAAATACTAATTTCAATAGCAATACAAATCTGTGATATTTATTTTTTGAAAATTCTGTGATACGACTTTTGTTATATTCTATCCGTCCAATAGATTTATATCATATAACGAATCAGTTTTATAGATTTTTATATTTTACATACATAGTAAATAATTACATTATGGTAGTACAAAACTGTTTCAGATATTATAGTTTTTTTAATTATCTCTTTTATCAATATATTTATGTTTATTCAAGATATTATTTTTTTTACTTATTCAGTAATACAATATACTGCAACAGCTAAGACATAAATTTTTAAAAGGTATTCTTGATAATACAGGTATTTCTAATTCTATACAGGGTTTGTTTACAATGAAATGTAAATCAGTTACCATAGATACTATAAACAGGGTAGGAGAAGTACTTACAAATGTGATAAATATAATATGTTAATATTCTGTCTTTTTTTTTATTTACTTACTTAATATATACTACCTTGTCAATTTACTTTTAAAGTTTCTGTTGTTTATGAATTTTTATTTCTTTAATTTCTATTAGATGGTTTTCATTTTGAGTTTTTGAAAAATATTTTTTTTATATTGTCACAAGTTTGAGACTGAGTAAGAGTAAATCTATATTCTGGTGAGAATTTTTTTTTTCAATTTTCTCTCTCAACTAAATATCTTAGTTTAAGCCATTCATTTATTGATTACATGGCAAATAATTTTAATAATGCCTACTTTTTATGTCAGGTAATTAAATTTTGTGTTTTCATACAAAACCTTGCATTCTTTGTATTTTTTCTTTATCACAGGATTCATTCAACAGTTATACAGCAAACAAAGTTTTTTTCAATCCAAATTTTACAATACATATGTACCATAACTTGAGTTAAAAATGCATATTTTTGAAAAAATTATTGTTCAACACTAAGCATATTCAATGTGTTCTGCCTTCACATATTGTCTAATGGTGCATTAACAGACAATTCTGTTTTGTAATGATAACAAATATGTGTGTTAGAATGAAGTTTAGACTTATCGACGGAGGTGAAAGAACTTTATTGACACTATAAATCCTTTGTAGCTGTCAATGGCTGCTAGAAAGTGCTTGACAAAGTTTCATGTATTGTAGAGATTTTAAACAAACAAAACTGCAGGTATTCAATAGTGAGGACATTTCTGCTGTACAAAGATCGATCGGACTGTCACGGAGGACAGATAAGAAAAACTCTTTTCTGACTTAAGTCTCCCATGGATTCTACTTGTGAAATATTTTTTGAACTGTACAACTTGCTCAATAAATTTCTATTTTGTTCAAACAAACTGTTTAAATTTTTTTTGTGTTTTCAATTTGACAAGGAGACAGTATTCTTTACAGCAGTAGAATTAACTCTCAGTTTCAAAGAAAGCAGCTTATATTTCAGAGCACTTGCATTGCAAAATTTTCTATATTTTATATGCTTTATTAAATTATTATGACAGGGAGGAAGGGGTCTGGATCCAATAATAAAAACTGATTCAGAAAGATTGTGAGTTCCAATGTGCACCATATACAAATCAAAGAAAAAAGGGGAGAAAATATAAATTCTAAAATTGTTTTTCATTTTTGTAAGCACTCATTGAAGGGGAAGTTTGAAGATACTATGGCAACATTAACTTCAATGAATGAAAGTATGTTATTTAGATAGCTGATTCAAAATATTCTCTTTATCTTACTTAATTATCACATTCAATGCCATACAAGTACATGTAATTTCAGTACATGTAATATATACCGGGGGTAATATGCAAATGTGATACATGGCAATCTTTCTAAAGCGAATAGGCATGTCATCTAAATATGACTCAGAATTCACATTTAATCACGGGCTTCCAAAAACCTGGCATCAGGCTCCAGTTGTGACACTGCATAAATACAATGCGTAATTTACTCAATCCCCAAAAAGTCTTTACAGGGATTTACAAATTACTTAACATGTACGTTCAGTTGTAAACATTGAGATATGGCAAATTTAAGACTGGATGAATGCCCGACCCTTGCCTTAATCTAGTTTCACATTGAGTCCTGGACTCCATCAAAGAACTCAAATATTTACATAGATTAGAGCACAAAATATATTTGAGTTTTCCTGATTTTAGTTAAAAGAAACCATGAAGATTAACAGCGTGGAATATTTATTCAAGTGACAAGATTTAGTTTGCATAAAGTATCTTGATTTAAAGCAAACCCCATACAACTATCATCCTATTTCGGAATGTAATCTATGTTTATTTTAAATTCTTAAGAATCTAAAAAGTCTGGCTGTAAAACTTTAGACTACGATGAAATTTTATGATGCATTATATGGTATATAAAACAAATTCAGCTTTAAAAAAATTAAAACCAAATTATGATTTACAAATTTAGATCTATTTAAATCAAGGCTAAGGTAGTAACATTACCCACACAGACAGAAAATTGATGACGAATAATATTGATTACAGATTATAGCTGCACTTTACCAAACGCACTTAAAGCACAGCAATTAAGCCGTGCACTTCTATATTTAATCGTTCAGTAAAGGCATTCCAGTTTCACTGTGTATAGATCAATTCAATTATATCAAACGCCATTATAAAATCCCAATTTCATTTTGAAAAAAATTAAAATTTATATTAAACAAGTCCACATCTGGGTTTTTTTCTTTTCTCACATAAATGTATGTTGTTTTACTTGCTATGAAATCGAAATTTAGAATTTACTTTGTAAAAGTTGTGCCCCCCAAAAATTCTCATAGTCATAAAGTCAGCTATAACTAAAACTGTACTGATCGTATCCAAAATATTTTTAAATAATGTTGTTTTTATGTTCGTAATCCCCCTTTTCATTAAAAGTGCGGGAAGAAATTACAACTTAGTCAATACGGGTAATTAGGCTAATCATCTTACCATATAATCATTTTATTAATTGTATTTGTTTGGTAATTATAGGATACAACTGTACTACCATTTATGTTGAAGACAAAAGTTGTCGTAGGAACGGGAGGCTGGTTGCTGCTACCACACACAAGGTACACTTAGACTTACCTGTTTTTCTTTTAGATTTTCCACTGGTGCCACAGCGAGGCGGGATTTTTTAGGATCCGCCGACGAGGATATTTTCCGGGATCTCGGCTTTTCCGACATTCTTACTATGGGTTTAAATGTCCATTGATCAATTGACACTAGTAGACAGTAAGCGATAGTGGTTATTGCCAAACTACACGCATGTTTACCCTCGGATTCGCCTCATCAAGCATGCAGGAGTCGCCATCTTGTTTACGTAGTAACCATGTGGACATGACGCGGCGCTGCTCTCGCACTGTGCAGAGTGGCGCGCACCTGCGAACACCAAACACTTATCTCTACAAAGTACATGGCTACAGGTTTCTGAAAATAATATTTTGTACCCTGCAAGTTTTTTCGTTAGAATAAGAACTCTATAAAAAAATTTTCAATAGATTTTTAACAATGTTTGATTTACTTTAATTTTTCCTTTATATTCATTAACATACTGTTCTAAATAGGATCTTCAATTTTTTCTGGAGAGAGGGGTGCGGGAAGGTCCTCTGGGACCTCCCCTATTTCAGAGACGTAACATCGTTTTTTAAAGGGGACAACCCATAGAAATATCCGTACATGTATCTGAAAAAAAGACAATCCAAAAAAGGATATTTTTCGATTTCAGGGGAGAGTACCAAACCAGATCCCTTAGTTATTTGACTATTCTACGACAAAAATAAAGGGGGGGGGGTCAACTGGTTTTTCAATGAACACTTTCCATAGAAAAATTTGTCTGGAAAAAGTGAGGGTGGTGACCAGCCCCCCACCCCCTCCACCCATTCCTCCCTTGATATTACGTTCCTGCCTATTTTCTAAAGATTTTAATTTCGGGAGTTTTTTTTTTTTTTTTTTTTTTTTTTTTTGGGGGGGGGGGGGGGGAATATTCGGAATATTCAAAATCAGAACGAATCACAGGCCCCTAACAAAAGGACTATACTTTTTTGTGAGAATTTGTGTAAGACAGGATATCATTTAAATCAAAAATAGACGATTTTCCAGTCTATCATACATGTATTTCAGTTTCTGTAGTATTTTCCCCATTTTATTAAGTTTCAGAGATCAGCACTTATTTAACATATAAAACAAGCAAATTCAAAGAATTGTGGCCCCCGCTTTCGGAGAGTCTTTGTTGGTTTATAGATGTCATTATTTATGGCATATTGTGTCCAATATATATGAATGCCATATCATACATCATTCAAAAGTTGATTTTTTAAAAAATAAGATAAAGGTCACGGGGTCAGAAACCATAACATGCTCGGAAATATCTTGTCACAGGTAATGCACCTGTCAAATATGAAAGCCCTATCTCTTCTTTAACAAAACTTATCTGGAAAAAATGATATTTTTGAAAAGGTGGTCAAATTTCAAGGTCGAGGTCACGGGGTCAAAATCATAGTGTATTAAGAAAGGTCCTGTCATTGGAAGAGTTTGAAAGGTGAAAACCTAAAATCTTCTTATCCAAAAGTTATGAGCAAGGTCAAAGTTTTTAAAAAGTATGTCAAACTTCAAGACTAAGGTCACGGAGTCAAAAATCGTATTTGTATTTGGAAAGATCTTTTCACAGGTAATACATATATATACAATGTAATATGAAAGCCCGATCTCTTTTTAAACAAAATCGGGCCAATTTAAAGTAATGTTTAAATTTTTGAAAATTTAATAAAAGTCCAACGTCGAGGTCAGGGATCAAAAATTATACTGTATTTAGAAAGGTTTTGACACAGGTTATATACATATGTAATATGAAAGTCTTATCTCTTCTCATTCAAAAGATATGACTAAGGTTTAAGTTTTTGTGACAGACAGACAAAATTCCAGACGGACAGACGATTGAGATTTAATGTCCCCTCGCTCCGGGAAAGCGGGG